TCTGAAGTGGTGTCATGTGTTTTATCCAAAATAGTATACACACTAAGAAACCTTCTGAATAAAATAAAGCATAAGCTGGTGGAAACTTTTCCTATTTACAAATTTATCTTTTAATCTTATGTGAATTTATACACATCCACAATGTATTCACAGTATACAGCAACTCCTGTGTATGTACAGTTCACATAAGGCCTTGAAAGATGGTGCATGCAGTCTTTCTGATGTCAGTTTGTAAGAACCCTCCTATGTATGTCTAAAGAGTGTCACTACTTGTGCAATAGCTGAAAAGTGATCACTTTTGTATGCATGACTGTTCAGCTTCTATGGTCAGAGCGTTTCATTTACCCTCGTGTATAAACAGCTCCCTGACAATGCAGGACTCTGTCAAGTGACAATATTTTCATATTTTCGTTGTATATTGCCACCTCAACTATCAATACAACCTAATTGTGAATTAACGTACTGCTCTATACAGATGATGTCTATTTGTTTATTGAGTACTGTTAAGTAATTTATCTGCTAATGGCTGTTCTTACCTTCCAGTTATCCCTGTAAACACGGAGCATCCAACATCTCCTTGTTTTACACATTTGACAAAAGACATAGGACTGGTGACTAAGCAGGTGGCAGTGATATACAATGAGATTGGTGCTGATTTCTAGCTTTCAATTAAGTATGAAACTGAAGTTCTTTAGTTTAAAGTGCAAAATAATAATAGCTTTGTCTTTTTTCCATTAGCTGCAGTTGTATCTGTTGGTAGAGAGTGGGAATTCAGCAATGTGTATCTTTCAGCTCAGTTTAGTTTGGTTTGCTGATGCACGTAGTAATAAACTCAACCTGCTGCTACCTCCAAGTCAGGAACTTGTTACCAAAGCTGAAATAAAATAGTCTCTTCATGTAAACACGAGCCCTTATCTTGCTGCTGGCTCTGCAGAAGTCTAAAATGAACACAGCAACCAATCCCTAGCCCTAAAACAGCAGAAAAATGGATGCTAAGGCCAAGGAGCTCTCAAAGGAAAGGGCTGTCCCATCCTTCCCTACCAACACCCCATCTTGTGTTTACCAACACAGAGAGTTGAGATGTGGGGACATGGAATAGAGTGGACCATGTTTAGTAAACCAGTGCATAACTGGTGCTTCTTTGTAAGATCTGTGCTTCTCTTGCAGCAGGTAAAACCAAGACAGGAGATCCTGTTCTAGGCTAAGGTACAGAGCACCCAGACCTGCTGGTCTTATGGCAGCTCCAGGGCCCAAAGCTGTGAGATGACCAGAGAAAAATGAAGTGTGTAAAGCAGCTGTGCTTGTGACAGCTCTGTTTTCTGTTCTGTCCCTGCAGCTCTGGCCCTGACCTGGACAGGAGTCCTGAACCTTAGTGAGTTTCAGGCACAGAATTCCAAAGGGGAATTTTACTAAGAGAAATGTGGTCTAGACATGAAGGAACATCTTTTAATTTGAGACCTGCAGCAGAGAGTCAAGAGATGTTGGGTTAATTCTCACCACACCTTCTGTGCCTTAGAGCAGGTAAATCACTTGACCTGTGTTGGATCGGAGTTACTGATCTATAAAAGAAAACACGGTTATTATTCTCTCCTGCTTCTTGATGCTTAGACTGTAAGCTCCTTGGGGCAGAGACATTGAGGGGGCTCAAATGTTGGTTGGGGCCTCTAGGTGCTATCCATCACTATATAAACATTAAACTACAGGTAAAAGTTTGTGTTTGCAGCTTTATTATTAAAAAAGGAAAACACTGCTTTGACCATTGGATCCTTAAAATAGTTTTCAACAACACCTAAACACGGTGCAGCTCTGGACACCACTGCAGCTCCAGTTAAGGCTCTTTTCTTGATGTCTGGTATGTTTCTGCAAGTTTTTATTCTCATAACTAATCACATAGATTTGGGCTGTTTTAGTTAATCTCAGCAGGCACCTGGCAGGTCTGAGCTGTCGGGGACATGCTGCAGCCACTCGAGGGCACCGTGTGGCTTTGGCAGCAGCTGTGACAGCAGCACTGCCAGGTCTGGCCCTGCCTGGAGGAGGGAGGACTGCAGGAAAGCTCAGCAGGAGGGGGATCCTCACCCTTCCTTGCCCACTACACAGGCCCAGTTCTTGTAAGCTGCTGCAGGTGCGGCACTGTAAATTGCAACCAGAATGATGAGTGAAAAAGTGCAATTTTTCTACAGGAATACTAGTTTTAATCCTAAAACCAGGATTTAAAAATCTTGTGCCTAGGCTGGATTTACACTGTTCTAGTGTTAAAAACACAAACATTCTGCTTAAGGCAGACACTTCAGTCCCTCTAGAAATCCTATTACAAAGAGGAAAAAGCTTCCTTCAACATCATATTCATTTCTAGGGTGGGATTTAAACACTTTTGCAGTCTGAGGACAATCTCAACCAAAATGGGCACACAGGGCAGTGCAGCAGCACTTCTGTACCCTGAACTAGATGTCACACACACACAAGTGTTGTGCTGCAGAAGCTCTGACGTCTGCAGCATTTTGTCCTCTGCTGTGTAAGTCAATTCCTCTCTAGTGACCATTTCCAACAGAGGGTGCAGGAAGGATCTGTTTTAAAAAGTAATTCTACAACTTGAAAAAGAGCAACATACTGATTTTGCAAGCAAAAAGTGCTCAAGTTCTAAAATCTGATGTTCTGAAAATATTTTCTATATACTTTGATACCCAGCTGCAGTACTTTTCTCATCAGCTTGCTGCCTGAACTGTGCTGCTGGGAGCAGCATTATGTGTTTTCAACAGGTCCTTCCCAGAAAAGTCACACTTCAGATAACCCAGCACTGCTGGACACACAATACTTCTGCTGCCATGGCTACTTCCCCTAGAAGCACAAGCTGAAAACTGCACAAGAGATGGGAATAATTTTGTCTTCCCAGGTTAGTCCAGTGAAAGAAAACAGGACACTTGCTAATGGGATACAGAGGCAGTGATAAGCTCAGGGGAGCAGTTAGTGTTCTACATTTAAAATGTAGGGTAAGTATCTAGAACTCCCAAGCTTTGGAAAGAAAGATTATTGAGTCTACCCCTTTGCAGCAGACAGGTGAGCACTGCCTGAGGACAGCCTCAGCCAAGGTGACAGTAACTGGTCAGTACAGACACCTGCTGTCCCTACAAAGGGCTCTCTGCCCTGGCTCTAGCACAGGATGGGGGCTGAGGCTGCTCTGCCAACAGCAGCTTTGGTGCCTGCTGGGCTGCTGCCTCCCAGTCAGGCTGTAACCATAATGCTGCTTTGAAATGTTGGAAATTAACTCAAAAGGAAACCAGAGTAACCAAAACTTGGTGTGTTTCTTTAGCAAAAGGGGATGAGGGGGAAAGGTTTCTATCTTCCAGACATGCACAGCAAGTTCAAAGCTGCTCTATTCTTTAGCAAAAGGGGATGAGGGGGAAAGGTTTCTATCTTCTATGCACAGCAAGTTCAAAGCTGCTCTCCCCAAGACATGCTGCTCCACAGCTCTGCATGGACAAAGGAGGGGAGAAACTTTATATATATATATATATATATTTGAGGAATCACTACTGTTATAGCCAAAAGAGGATGCAGGGATAAGAAAACAATGCAATACAGATTGTATTGATACCTGACACCTCTAACAAGGTCCTTCTTCCAGGGCTGTGAATCACTGACTGCCCAGTATTTCATTATTTCCAGTACCACAGAGCTCAGGGAGATACACAGGCCAAGAGAATTGGACAATACATTTCCAAAGACTTTTAATCTGTATTCTAGTGACTGTCTTTGGATTCAGTCAGGAAGTCTATCCTTCCTTTTAGCTTTAGCTGAGAGCTTTCACTATCCTTCAGATGCAAGAGAGCTCAGACACCCAAAGGGGCTTAAAAAATCAGTGTAAAATTGTGTCTCCCCACATAAAAAAACCACTACAACCTTCCAGCAGTTGGCCCATTTCAAATCAAAGCAGCCAAAGGTAGTTTGCAGCACTTACTGTGACACTCACAACAGTCTGGACAGAGTTTGGGTAATTGTCACTGCTTGTTTGCACTGCTGGCAGGGCTCTTTTTGCTGTGGTTGAACAGCCCTATTCTTTTGCCTCCCAATACAGGCTCCACACTATGCAAAGGGACCCTAAGAAAAGGGCTGGTTTATTTGAGGAAAACCCTATTCTTACAGCAAAGTTGACCTTTCCAGGGAGTTGTTTCAATGTACTATTCTGAGTAACAGGGTAAGAATTAATTCAGGTAATTTTAAAGAAATGTCTCATCCAACATACTTCACAGTAATCACCCACATTTATGGAGATCATATATATTCCCATCTATGGATAAAAGCCTTTTTCTATAGAAAATTATTTGCCATATCCTTCATGTCAGTAAGGAATCTGAAAAGGCACTACTTTTTGTTGGTATTTTCTGACTTCAGTTGTTTTTACAGGTGGGTGCCTTACTTGAAGCGATGACATTATCTATTTGTGTTTGTGTTTCACATACTCAGACCTATTTACTGTATCTTTAAAACCAAAATGTCACTGTAAAACATACAACACCAAAAGACACCTGTTGCTTCCTGCCCCAAAGTCATGCCCCTATTTGATAACACACTGCTAAAAATTTCTTTGAGGACTAGTACTTTTTGATCATGAGACTTCCCTATCCAGTCATGGATAAAGTTTGTGGCAATTTTTTGTTCATGCCTTCTACATTTAAAGCAGAAAATGTACTGGGCACTGATTTTATATATATATGTATGTATTTGTTGTTGTTTTTATTCCAAAGCGTAGTTGTTTACAGGCACTATGAGTCCATGGCAAAGAAAAATTCTGGGTGTTTTTCTGTATCTTACCTTCTAAAGTAAGTGGAAAGGCAAAGAAAACTGGAGAGATGGTGAATCACTACCCTGAAACAGTGCTAAAACCTCGCCAAATCTTCAGGGATACAGGGTAACAAAACCACTTTTCAGGAGAAGCAGCTGCAGCAGGAGGTCTGACGGAAAAACCCAAAAGTTTGTTTAAAAATAAAACCCAGACACGGAGCTACATGAACACGTATTTACTGCAAGTAGCTCTATGGAAAGCCAAGTCAGATAAATATAAACACTATACAGAGCTTCAAGCCAGTCTCCCAAAACCGCAAACGCGATGTGTTTTACAAAGAAAACAACAGAACAATATTTACAATGGAAGACAAAGCCAGATCAATCAGCCCAACTTTAAAACAGATCTGTGGAGCAGAAATAGCAAATATAATGAACAGTTTCAACCATATATGTTTTAGTTTGTACAGACAATAACTGTCCAATATCAAATTAAATTTACAGGACAAACATTGTTCTATCATTGGTATTTCCATACTATACAGCAGCATAAACGGGTAGCTGGAAGGTAGTATATATAGTGATATGTTTTACATCATCTGAAAATGTTCTTCCAGCACAATACTGAATAAATTAGTTGCTGTAAACTAAGAGATTCAAAAAGATTGCATATTTATTATGCCGTACCTATTAGTATTTGTACCACTATACTTGAGGTTACCCATTTACTTATTTATTCAGCATGTATTAAATCAGTGCTGTATATTGTACAATGGCAGCCTCAGGGACTCTAATATGAAATAAGTATGTAACAAATTTCTTCAAAACAACCTTTTCCTTTCACATTAAATGTTTAGAACTATCTTCACCAAATTTTGATTTCTTAGAAAAGATGTAAAGCTTTATAAAAAGCTGTCTACATATTGCATTATTCATTTATGAGACCAACCAACAGCTATATGGCAAGACAGTATCATGGTCTGTAAGAGTGGTCGTGTTTTTAATTCCTGTATGTTTAGCAGCAAGTAATTGTACCAACTGAAACTTCTCTTCCAGAATCAAAAACAGGTCTGTGCTTTAAAACCCTGTAGCAACAGTTTTTTCCTGTCACTAGACACTGTGTAAACTGATTGGTACCATGTTTCCTAAAAAACCCCAAAACAATCACCTCGTATTTTAGTGACGTGTACATTTCATTACTACTCCGAAATAGATCTGGTACACATCACTGAACAATCCAAGCTGACAGTGTCTGATTTGTTACACAAACTGTACCAGCAATCTAAAGGTTGTCTGTTGGAGGTGAGGCAGCCTGGCACATCCGTTGTACAATATACATGTAGAGGATTCCCAGCTGTGTGGTGCAGTACAGCATGAGGATTTGTGTACCACTTTGAAACCCTTTAGCAATCGTCAGTGCCTTTTATAATCCATTGCATGTACCAATGACTAGTGTCATGCTCTTTTAAGTTCATAGCAGTGTTAAAAAGCTAACTCATTTCAACCAAAAAAAAAATTCAGTACAAGAGTGAAGCACTTAAATTGTAGAAAAATCAGGGCTTATTTTAAAAAATGTCAAATAGTCATTGTTCACATTTCTGTCAGTGGGATAAAGACAATCGATGAGCCAACATTTTATTTCCCCATTATGCCAGAAAGAAAGAACAAAAATAGTCCCAAATTAAAAGTGGGACTTTGGTTGAAAGTAAGATCAATTAGGGTGGTTTCCCTTTAAAAAGCTACAGCTGACAAGTCTAATGCAGAAGTCACAAACATTGGATACGACTCCGCAGTTCTCCATTCGAATCCATGAACAAAAACCTCATTTTACACAATTCATATTTATAAACAAGAACAAAAACGATCTACAAGACAACCAGCCCATTAATCCTACTTTGTACATACCAAAATTCTGAGCAAAAAAAATTTCCGTTTAAGCTCTGACAGACACTTGACTGAAAAGCCTCTAGCCTATGCTTAAGAAATACCTCTTGTACCATAAAAGCAAAACCTTAAAAAAAAAATGAAAAAAGGCAGAAGAGGTCTCTTTTCCTCAGACCCATCCAGTCCCACGGGTTCACCCCTCAAGCTAATGTGCACCTCTCCCTTCCTCCTTCTGCCCAGTCACCTGGAAAAATCCTGAACTGCCAAAGTATTTCTAAGCAATACATGTTTTAAGCTAACCACTTGTTAATGTACCAGAGAAGTAAAACCCATGTTAAACAGACAATCAGAAACCAGCTTTGACTTCTCAGAATATAAATTTTTTAAAAAATTAACAAGAGAGGCAGGAAGAAGAAAGGGACATACAGGGATCTCCTATTAGCATTCACACTGCCTCCCAAATAGATATGACATGAAAGACCAAATTCCATCACCAAAGCACAGCTATGAAAAAACGTCAATTCAAATTAATTCAATTGTAGAGAGCCGATGTCTATGAAAAAAAATAATGAAAAGGATGTGTGTCTATGTCCGTGCTGGTGGAAATGAAAGTAGCCGGCTGGAGCTGAGCTTTGCTTCCAAAAGCACCACACAGTTTCTGGAGTTACCAGCAGAAAAGTCTTCTCTTCCAACAATGGTTTCCATGGCAATGCAATCAGTCTAGAAAGGAGGGGGGGGAAAAAAAAAGTCAGTGACATTTCAGATGCAAGTTCTATCAGAAAAAAATGTTTTCTAGGGAGGAGAACACACGGAGCTTATCCACTGCAGGAGTGAGAGCTGCTGCCTGCAGAACGCAGGTCCTCCGTGGAGGGAGGGCCACTCCCAGCTGCCAACCCTTCAGAGCTCCTGAGGGAACGAAGAACGATGGAGTCTGAAGCAAGCACTGAAGAGCACTGCAGCCAGAGTGACACGTGTACATGGGACAGGAACTGGGGCAGCAGGCAGCCCGTGCTGGGGACAGCCCAGGGCTCAGAGCTCGCACGGCCCCGCGGGGCTGCGCAGCGCGGGGAGCCCAGCGGCGCTCGCAGGGCGGCAGAGCCTGCGGCCGACACCGCCGCTGCCAGCAGGGCACAGCTGCCACACCAGCGCTCCTGCACTGCCTGCTCCAAGCAACGAGCAGCACACCACAGCTGCGTGCCCTGTCCTCAGCTTTTCAGGAAAAAAGCTTTATTTAGTTATGATCAGAAACACCTCACAGTACACTTAGTCCCTTTTTGAAGAAAGTCTCACTGAAAGGCAACACCCAAGTACAGAAGCACACAGCTCCAAGCCAGCTCCCTTCTTCAAGGGCTCCAAACTGACTGGAAAAGGCAGAAGTCCAAGAGCTTGCTAAAATGAGGGGCAAAAAATATACTCTTGTATTGCAGGAAGGTACAGATGGGTGACGAGGCAGAAATGACAACAGGAGGGAGTCTGCCCTCAAAGCACCGTATCAGCCCTGCAATTAACCATGCACATGCCAAGGTGAGAGCAACTCAGGAGTTTCCTGACATGGAAGACAAGGTGATGAAGGGCATGCAAATGCTTTCTGCAGTTGCACAAACACAAATGAGGAACATATAAAAAGTCACTTTCCAGCTCTCCACAAAAACCCTTCCGCTCCCAGCTGAGCCAACGTGAACACTAATTTTCAGTCTGGAGGGCTACTGCCAACCCAGTCAGTGAATCACAAATCACACTCTCCCAGCTCAGACAGACTGTCCTCTTCCACCATTTCTGTCCTCTCAGCCAAGACTAAGGACACATGTAAAAATATATATATATATATATCCTCTGCCAGGCAGGTGTCTGTGCTCAGCTCCTCTGCAAGGTCTGAGGTACGTACCTGCAGAATGTACCTGCAGTACAGCGAAGAAGGAAACAGCCAGTTGCTCTGCTTGAGAAACAATGAGTGCAAGAGGTTTTGGCTTAAGAAAACAACAGATACAGAAATGTCAGCTACTTTTTCCCTCAAAGCCACACAGTGCCAGCTCTCTCCCTGTTCTGGGAGCTGCCTGAGCTGCAATATGGGAACACTTCATTACACAGCAATGGCACAGCACAGCAATGGCAGCACAGGCTCCTGGAACAGAGGAAGGGGTTTTGGGGCTTAATCCTGCCCATGCTCTTCTGGCAGGTCACAAGGACATCAGCTACATCTCACTGCTGAAGATCTCAGAGCTCTTCCTTCCTCTTGCTTCCTCTCAGAGCCTCTACTCCAAGGATATGCTAAAGAAAAGATGACCATGTAAAGCACAAGCATTATGTGTAATAATGCAAACCTGTATGTTTACTTACAAACCAATCATGAGGTATGCACACACAAACTCCACCCTGTGCTAAAGAAATTCTGACTTCTGTCCAGCTAAGAGTACTCTCCCGCTGAAAGAAATACGAAAGCTAAAAAAATAGAAAAAACACCAAAGCTCAGCTGAGCAGCCCTGCCCCATCCCAGCACTCAACAAAGGCTGCCCGTGGCTCCAGAGACAGAGGCAAAGGCAATGGCAGGGCTGGCAGCAGTGTGGAAGTATAGAGGGGTCCTTCCTCTTCAGGAGAAACTCTCTTTTGCCCTCACCAAGGTCCAGGTTGCTGTGTTTCATTTTTCAATTATTTCAGTGATTTCAAAAATACAGCAACTTAGTTTTCCTCAATTAAAGGAAGAAACAGCCAAAATACACCCACAACTTGAGAATCTCTATTTGTGTTATTTCACAGACATCCTAAGATCACTACAAAAAGCTATTGCTTGGTACTCACGGAGCGTGATGTGGTCAGCAATGGCTTTGTTTTCACAAAAGCCAACTGAAGCTATTATTTCTGAAATAATTTTCCTCTTTAGAAAAACATTGTTTTGTTGTAAGACCAAAGAATGAAAATATGCACCATAGCTTGCAATGAATCACACCTCAGTGATGCATGCAAGTCAAACATTAAAACAGTTAAAGCTTCTATATTAAACTTATACTCAATAAAAATTAACTTTACCAGCAACCCCCCACCCTTTCCTTGCTGTGGATCTGTAAGCTTACATAAAAGGAACTTCAAAAACTGTCTCTGCTTTTGTCAGGACATTTTTCCTCCACGCCTTACACACAAGACACACCTGAAAGCTGTCTGACAAGTTACTCTAATCTCTCCAAGCACATCCCCAAAACATTTTGAAGAGCAAAAGCCCAGTTGCTTGAATCAGACAATCCCATATGGCAGAGCTCAGTATTTACACCTAAAATGTGTTGAAAATTTTCATAAACTAATGCCAAATTACATTTAAGGTATTTGGAGGGGAAGGTGAAGGGCTTAAGAGCAAAAAAACCCCAAGCCTGTTTAAGTCCTAAGTTTAATTCTCTGAAGCAGCCTGATGTACTCAGACAGCAGCATGGCAACCAATTCTAAAGCAAGAGCACCAGGTAACTGGGCAGAACCCCAGCCAGCACAGATTAATTTATCAGAAACCAGAAGAAAGCCTGGGACCTCCCTGCAGTATCTCCCCTTCCCAAAACTCTGCACATCCTAAACAAAAGCTCATTAATTTCCTCCCTACTACACTTCAACATGTTTCTTCTCCATTTTTAAGGTAAAACAGAATTGTTGAACTGTAAAAAAACATCAGTGAGTTTCACATAAACATTACCTACAAGCTGATGTCAGTCCATAAAGCCTTGAGTCTTTCATACGTGGAGCTATTGGTTGTCACCACTTCTCTAATCCCCTTATTAAAGCTGGAAACTGCAATATTGCAGTTGGAGCAGTACAGCTGGCTGGTGTCCTGAGTCATCAGCACTTTTTCAGTATGAAAGTATCAAGCAGATATACATATATATATACACACACACACACACACACACACATATGTGTATATGTATATATGGACACATATATCATACATATCACATATATCATGTATCTTTTCTCACACAGAAAAGGCTAAGAGCAACTTGTGAAACTTGACCACATAAAAGAAAAATATTTCATCTGAAATCTAAGGGAGACTGAAGTCTTGCAAGATCCCTCCCGCAAAGTGCCGCAGTCACCACCATTCCCAAGGGCCACCACGGGAGTCCGTTCATGCAGCCAAAGGCCCACAGGTCACCCAGCAGGAATCTCCAGCATCACAGAAATCCCATGTCACCACCAGTGACTGCACCCAGGGACCAGTGGGGTCTGCAGCCCAGCCCAAGGCAGCTGTGCAGTCACAGGCACGAGCCCTGGCACCATTCCCAAGCCCCCCATCCCTGGAGCTGGGCTGGGTCACAGCACCCCCTCACTGAGGCTCACAGGTCACTGCTCCATGCCCACAGGGGCAAGCAGCACCTCACGGTCACCTGGGCACCAGGGAGGTTTATAAAGAGAAGCTGCTCATCATAAGAGGCGTAGCACGGGTTTAATGTGAGAGCAAGGCCAGTGTGTGTTGTGCTGCTGACGCCTGGATTCCCACCTCTGTGGCCCCTACCAGAAGGATCCTTTTGAAGGGACATGACCTTATGTTGAGAGGTTGCAAAAGAACTTGCACATTAAGCTTCTTGATGGTTCTTCTCTCCCACACCTGAACTACTTCCATTTTCTCATTAACCAGTTGGTGAAGGAAACCTAATGAGGCCACGCAGTGCTTGAAGTAAACAGCAGTGCTTCTATGAAACTGAGTATTTATTTCAGTCTCATAATGTAAGATTCCTTAGACATCAATTTCCTACGTTATTACTACAGATATGGGAATTGCTCATCAACAATAAAAACCAGATTAACACTTCATACCAAAGCCCATATGAATGGATTTAACTCAGCACTAACTGAAAGTAAAGGAAGCTGTCAGAGAAAGGGATGAAGAAACTCTTCCATAAGGTAAACAAATTATGAGATGTGAATCAGCAGAGACAAGAGGTACATTCTCACAGAGTAACCCAGCATTCCTGAGTTCTCAAATAAAAATGCCATATATAAAAAAATAAAAATAAAGCTTCGTGGCCAGATCAGACAGAACTTTTGCTTGCAGTGTAAACACAAAGCTGTTCCTGGACTGTCACAAGCTCTTCTACGAAAATCTACACATTAAAAAAAAAAAAAAAAAATAAAATAAATCTGATAACTGATCATGACAAGAAACAAGCAGCAAAAAAACCTCTGCAAAAAACCTTTCGAGGCAGCCTAGAAATATACTACTCTAAGTAGTTTTCATTGCATTGCACCCTACACTGGGCTTTTCAATCCAAACTTCAGCTCCATTAACAGATTTTCCACAAAAGCTTCAGCCTTTATTCAAAATTGAGCTCTGCTGCTACAGACTACTGACAACAATACAAATTCAACTTCTTATCAATGTTTAATATGGAAAATGAGTCTAGACAGTATCCAAACATTTTCAAAGTTCATCTCATGAAATATATAAGCAAAGTTTAGAAAATTGAAGCAACGTTCTCTTCATTACACAATTCCATTTCAATTCATCAGTTTAAGATGGGATCAGATTATAAAACTGCATGCAGCTGTCTGAATTTTGCTGAGGAACAATCAGAAGAAAAAGATCACAAGGCAGAAGAGAAACTAAGGGGCAAATATTTAAAACAGGATGGGAGCATTGCTGAAAGACGTTTTATTTAAAATTAAGGAACACACTGAGAAAGCACTGCAAGTTTTCTATGCAAAAATCACATAGTTTTATAAAAATTAGGGGCAGAGATATAAAT